TGACTGCTTAGGGCCCCGGTCTGGTTTTGTCCCAGTTAGGTGGCTTGGGACAAGGGCCTTTCTGGGGCTCAGCTTCCTTTCGTGACCTCCCAAGTGAAGAATACTGGTATCAAGGGAGAGTGCTGCAGAAGGGTGCTTGTCTTTATAATAAGTGATATCAGCAGAACTGTGTGCCTTTGAAGTGTTGTGCTTGTAATTATATATGGCAAAATACATAATGTATAGTGTAGCTAGTATTAAGTATAAATATTTGATGGTTTTGTATTATATATGTCAGTCCTCTGGTGAATGCTACACCTGCATGACCCTTGTCAAGTTTTGAAAGGTCCCACATGCTAGGGCCGTGCTGCATGTTATGTGCTGATGTTATTCCAACTCTAAATGTCTGTGCAGCTTCAGTGTGCAAGTTGAGGGGTTATGGTGGAAATAAAATACACAGATAAAAAAGTATTAAATGTAGGATACTCTGGAAGAAATGTAAAATCAATGAAAAGGCTGTCTGTCAGTGGGAAGTGTTTCCATGCCACTCGCCTTGGTGGAACTAGCATGTCAAGTTTTTCTTAATATACAGTCGTTAAATGGATTAACCATCTTCTTATTTTACCTTTCTCCTCCGTTGTTGAATTACATACCTGCTGCTTTGTTCACAGGAAGTTCATGAAGTGGATCATGGTCTTATTAGCCAGCTACTTGCTGATTCAGAGGAGACTCTTAGTTCGTGCACAGAGAAAATGCAGAGTCCTGCTCAGTATAGCTGGAGTGCTGACTGGAGCTTTTGGGTAACGTTTTATGTTTCTTCTAACTTGTGTTTTATTTATAAATATGTTACATGTATATTTTAATTTATATATGTGTGTATATGTACTGGCTTTATATCCACAGTTCTCAAGTTGCTGTGTAGTCATGAATTAGTAAAGTGTTCTCTACACATATAGTGAAGTAGGTAATTTTATCATCAGCTTACTAAAGTGTAAGCTGAGACTGAGAGGGGGTGAAGTTGTTTACCTGTTGTCATATATCAAGTTAATGGCAGGACTTCTGGCTTTTGTGCTCAGTCCTGCCTCCTAATTCTTTAACCTATCCAATGCCTCTTTATGCTTTTAGAAAGATGTCGTTGATGCTTTTTAACAGTAAGGGCTGAATTTTGATTCTCAGTGTTGGGCAGTCCTTCTGATGTGCTTTCCTAGTGCCTGTTTTTTGTCAAGTAAACAGGATTGTTTTCGTCAAGAGTAAATAAGCTTTCTGTGGAAGGAATGGGACTTGTGAATAAGAAGGGCAGAAAAGAGGGGTTTGGTTTTGCTCCTCACCAGGGAAATGCCACTGAAGGTGGAGAGTGTAATAATAAATGCTGTCCTTAACACTCTTATCATGCTTTTGATGGATTTCTCTCTCTGCCCTCCAGTGCCATGAGAGAAGGTAAACTTATGGGTGTAGGCTTAGAGCATATGTTTTGCTGTTAGTTTGGTGGATGGGTTGCTGCTGTTGAATAAAAAAGGGGAACACCTGTGTGCAGCCACAGGCAGGGTGACACCTGATCTCATGAGAGACTTAGGTTCTCTTCCTCACAGCTCAGGTTCTCCATCAGGTGGCCTCAGTAAATTTGGTGTGCTTCTGCTTGTGCGTAGGAGCATCATCTGGACTACCGTGTCCTTGTCCTGATGAGGTCAGTGCCGCGTTCGTTGTGCTCGGCAGCTGAAAGATTAAGTAGCAAAGGCTGCAGGGAATCTGTGGCAGAGCTGTGAGCAGAACTCAGGGATCGTATTTCCCAACTCATTTATAAATCTAGCTTGTATATCTTTTCATCCCTCCTGTTCAAACTAAGCAGATGTCCTAATGGTCAGAACACTGATTTTGCATCTCAGGCCCTAGCATAAACTTCCCTCAAAATGCATGTGCACTTTAAAACTGAATGACAGTAGTCTGGAGCCAACAGAAATGGGACAGGCCAAGTGAATCCCAGCAGGTCACAGAATAGTGTTGCTAGGGAGTGAGTGCTTGGACTCTTCAGTATTTTCTCTGCTGTTCTTACAGCAACAAAGACGATACAGGGCTGTTCTGCCTGTGCCCAGCTGTATCTCTGTACTTGAATCGATAGCAAATCATGCTGCACAAACATTGTAACTGCCTGCTATGCTCTTGTTAGATGGGCAATTAGATTGTGTAAACTAACTCTTGATGGTTTGTATACAGCCATTAATGCAGTTGGTAGTTTGTGAGGAAGAAACCTGGCTAGGTCTTGAGGTCAGTTTGTTGGACTTGCAGTTAGCACCTCAGTCTTTCCTTGGTGAGTTTGGCAATCTAAAATAAAGTCAGTAAAGTATAATATGTGAAGAATATAATAGTGCTCTTGGCTTTGCATTTTTAGGTTTGAGACACGTGCTGAAAGTTAGAAGTTTCTTTAGACAGAGCTTTAGGCATGTATTGCATGTCCTCGCAGTGCCACTCTCTGCTTCCTGTTAGTAGAGTGTGTGTGTAACTTCAGGGGAATGGGATACTTCAGTGCGGTGGCAGCTGCTAAGAGTGTGAGGTGTTATCTGATATGATTAATCGATTGCCTTCTGTCTATGATTTGTACTTCAAGACCTTAGTATTTGTTTGAAGTTAGCGTTTAGCTGGTTCTGCAAATATGACCTTGTGGTCAAAACAGAAGGAATTGTGTAAATACTTCCCTTTTATAAGATAGTGCTGTGCCTTGCAAGGTTCTAGCTTTACTGTGTATGTCACTGGGTAGTTTTCAAAACCTCTCAGTCTGGTTGTAGGAGGCTGTGGTACTCATTTTCTCAGCTTCAAGGGGACTGAACTTATAAGTAGCAAGAGACAGAAAGTCACAAATTCAAGGCAAAAAACTAAAATCTTCTAATTAAAACAGTATGTTATTGGCATCTTTCCCTGCTCTTCTAGACAGAAAATATGTTTTAATAACTGCCATGGTTGATGATCAGCTGCTGAGTGTATAAACAAATCATTAAAACTCCCTAAATACTGAGTCATAGTAAACGTGTAGGTGATAACGCGAAAGGCAGCTTGTTGCAGCGTACAAAGTGTGTGTCATTAACATCTGACAAAGGATGATCTTGGTGTCCTGTGGCAGGTGTGATTTGTTATGCTCGTTCTTGCTCCAGAGTCAGTAGAAGTAAGGAATTGCTACAACGGCAAGGCTAGCCCGTGGTAGCATCCCGGGATCAGCTTTGGTTGCCTGGGTTATTTGCTAAGTATGTACTCTTGCTTCTCTGGCGATGGAAACCATATGTGGATGTTAGAGCCTGACTGGTTTGACTTCAATTTTTCATGGATTTGAGTGGGAGTAGGCAGTTGTGCCATGCCTTTGGAAGTAAGGCCAGGTATCATAAATGCTCAAGAGGTGCTGTGAGCACATGTAATTAGCAGCAAGCTAGGGCTGGGAGCCTCTGGGATATAATCTCTTTCCTGAGTATGGTGAGTTTGGAGAAGGAAGGGTAGCAGAAAAATTAGTAGGAAAGGAAGAAAAGAAGAGAGTCCTAAAATGCATTATTTTTACCGATCTCTAAAAAAAATAATACTTTGTATAGCTTTATTGAAAAATTTTGAGAAATAATTATTTTTCTGTACTACTGTAAGCACTTCTTAAGCTGGTAGTGGTACTAACTGCTGGCTTTAAGTTGTGTGTTTTTTTGGCTGGTTGTGGGTGTGGTTTTTTGTGGTATGGTGTTTTTTTGAACATTGTTCCTTGGAGATGGACTGGAGGAAGAAAAAAAAGCTTGCTTGCAAACTTAATCTCAGGGGTTTCCCTCTTCACTGGAACCTGTGAAGCTTACTTTTGATTAAATAGTTCTAGTTTGGGCAACTGCAAAGAGAATTGATGAAAATCAAAGATGCTTTGGAAGTTGTTACACCTGGAAGCCCTATCTCAAGATTCTGAATTTGCATTTTATCCTTTTTACGCTCTTTGTACTGAAATATAATTAAATTTAATATCCTTGGAAGAAGAAACTCATGAAAATCTTAAGTTTTCTCCTGCTGTAATGAAGAAGGTAAAGGTGAATGAGGAAGCTAATGAAAAGGATCCTTGCATTAAAAGTCAGGGTGTTCTGTCTGGGGACTCTAGTTTCTAGTAATAAACAGCGAAAGTAAGTTCATAAATGTCTACAATAAGAAGAATGCCTGTGGAAAGAAAGAACAAAAAAGTAAGTCCTTCCCTTGCAATGAAAAGGTAGGTGGAAAGAGTCAAAATTAAATGAGCATCTTGGAAAATTGTTTTTGTCTGGGAGGCTTGTTTAAGAATTTGAGAACATGAGGTGCCAAGAAGGTGTTGGAAAGAATAATAAAACACGCTCTATGCAGTGTAATGTCAGTTGAAAGAGTTGGTCAGCATGAACGGGTACAACAATAGAAGCAAACAAACAAAATGGAGAAAAGTGAAAGTAAGCCATTTATTTTTCATAGTACAAGAACAACTGAGGTAGCACAAGCTTTGGAAAAGGATTTTGAATTTTGATAAACACAGATTTGGTTTCTGTGAGAAAGAACTAGTCTGTGGGAGCATGTGCCAATACGTGTGCCAAGAACATGATAAACATATGTGACTCAAACCTGCACAGGAGGGATGCAGATAAGTTCTTGCAGCACAGATACAAGTTGAAATACTTTGGGGCCCAAGACTAGTAAGGGTTAAGTGAAATATTTCTTGCATCTGTAGCTGCTTGAACACTTCTTCCACCTTTCTCTGAAGACTCATGTTCACTCTGGGAATGTTTTACTGGGCTTGTTAAATAGGTGACTATGTTTTGGCAGACTGGTATTTAAGGCCCTCTGACAGTTGCTTCATCTCCTGTGTTGTGTACTTGGTATGTTACTTCTGAAGAAAGCTTTTCTTCTCATCTGTGCCTCTAAATGCTTGGCTTGTGAAGGAGAAACATCACTGTTTGTGGCATCGGAGGACGATTTTTAGCCTCCTTCTTGTTTGCTGATATGAAGCAGTCTGCTAAGGAGGATGAGAATTGGCTAACTGCCGTAGGTGTCCAAAGAAAATAAAAATCTTAAGCATACTTATGCTTTTTTTTTCCTGAAATGTCGTAACTTTAGTATAAATAGCTTTTGCTGTACTTGTAGCACTGGTATGTTGTTTGTTTACTGATCGGAAATCTCTAGAATAAGTGTTTGGGGTTTTTTTGAGTCCTGCAGCAGCACTGATTATACAGAAGCTATGTTTTAAAATGGTAAGAAAAGATAAACTGTAGTTCTGACTAGCCTTTGAACATGGCTGATGAGGCTGCAGTGTTTTTCTCACTTATTTTAGCCCAGAGAATCTCTTTGCTGCTGTTGATGCAGCTCTAAACTGAGCACTGGATAGATCTGACTGCCATTGAGTTCGTGTGTTCTGAAAAAAGACTGCCAGTTGGTGCCCTGTCTAAATAAGCTTTCCCAAGCTGCAGTAGTGGGAATTTCTATATAAAATGAATTATTATTACACACACCTAAAGAATTAGTTTAGAATCTGAAAGCTAAGTTAAATAAATGAGGAAGAAAATACTTTAGATTTGTGTGGTTTATTTATTTTGTAAGTCATTGGGAGCAAAACCATCAGAAACGCGATGTCATTCAGAAAATCAGCATGGAGTTGGTTAAATGGTGGTATCTGTTTAATGAGAGAGGAATTCATATCTTACGGAACGAAAGCTTTAAAAGGCAAATCTAGGAGATGGAAGTTAAGTTCTTTTTTTGGTCTTTGGTTTGGTTACAGCTTTTATTTTTCAGTATTCTGCAAACAAGCAGTGGTGTAACATTGTCTTTAAGCCTGCTA